TTAGTATTAAGGTTATACTATGATTATATTAGAGATATAAATTTGTATAATATACAAATTATATAAAATCAAGTATTTATATATTAGGGCTTAGATTAAGATTATATTATTTATATAAATTTATATAACATTACACAAATAATATAAAATCAAAGTTTATAACTAAAATATAAAATTTTTATTATTAATAAAAGGGGTGCAATACATTGCACCTGCAATAAATTATAAAACCCTATGAATAATATTGTTTTTTATTAAAAAATTTGGATGTTTTAAAACATTTAAAACATGTTTTAAAACGGGTTGTTTTAAAACACTTGCCATCCTATATACATTTCAAAGGTTAATTAATAAACAAAAAAAACAACCATATATGTTTACTTAATGATTTTAACTATTAAATCTCCTGCCGATAATGAATCACTTTCTTTAACTTCTACATGATCAATTTTACCAGAAACAGGCGATGAAACTACAGTTTCCATCTTCATTGCTGAAAGAACACATATCGGATCCCCAGCTTTAACCTCAGCTCCTTCTGTATAAATAAAAAAATTCTTATTTAGCAATAAGAAAATAAAATTAAATACGAAAACAATATTTTAAACATACCATGCACCCTAATTTCAATCACTACTCCAGACATTGGTGCTCCAACATCACCAGGATTTCCTGGATCAGCCTTCTTACGATGAACATGTTCAACAGCTGATATTAAATGAAGGATATTAAATTATTATTTAAATAATAGTAATAATAATAATTTATCACAAAAAATTTTATTTAAATTACCGGCACTTCTATCATCTATACCAACAGCTCTAGTTTCACCATTTAAATCAAAGAATACTTCTCGCTTTCCAGTAGTTGTATCTAGAGGCCCAATAGCTAAAAACTTTATAATTAGGGTAACACCTTCTTCGAGACTTATGCAAAATTCTTCGCCAATCTCAGGCTTGCACAAGAAATATCTTGTTGGAATTACTGAGACATCACCAAATTTTTCAAGCTGTTCCCGATATTCTGCAAATACTTTTGGATATATTGCTGCTGAAGATATATCAACACCACGAATGGACCGACCATATTTAGCTATCAACTCCTTTTTAAGCTTATCAAGATCCATAGGTTCCATTGATGCACCGGGTCGTCCATCAATTCGCGGGAGATCACGGATAATCTAATTCATATTAACAGAATAAAAAAAAAGGTTAAGTAAATAATTGCTTAAAAGTTTATAATAAGTATAGATAGAATTAATTACATTTGAGCGAAGTGGTTCAGGAAATCCACCACATGGTTGTCCTAGATAACCTTGGAAAAATTCTACAACTGAAACCGGGAATGACGTATTATTTTTTGACTTCTCAATGACCTATTGAGTGAACAGTTAAGTATTTGGATAATTTTAAGCAGATTAAAAAAGAAAAAAGATTGTAAACCTTACATCGTTAAAAGACCATTTGTTAGTGACCATAAATTGAGCAAAATCTCCTACAACTTTTGAACTAGGCGTCACTTTAATAATATCACCACATAATTTATTGGCTTCAGCATAAGCTTTTTTGATTTCTTTCCATTGTTTACCAAGACCTAACTGTGAAGCCTGGAACATTAAATTTGTGTATTGACCACCAGGCATTTCATGTTCATACACTGAAGAATCACCACTTAAAACTCCAGACTCAAAGCAGCTATATAATTTTCGTGCTTGTTCCCAATATTCATTCAAAGCATGCACATCTTCCAACCTAATACCCGTACCAAGTTCAGAATGCTCGAGTGCAGAAACGACGGCAC